CTTCCTTTTCTTCTTTTTTTTTTATGAAAAGACTACGCAGGGGGAATATCTAAGGACTTAGAAAAGATGAGCAGGGCTGCTTCAGGATGTTGGCTGCCAGGACAGCTGAGACCAGCTGGCAAAGCGAAAGCAGGTCTGCTCTGACCTTCAGCAAAAGTGCCCAAGAGCCAGAAGCCAGGGACCCACCGAGGACCCAGGACAACTGCTCTAGGCAAAAACAAATGCATAGTGCTATTACAGGGGCACTGAGAACAGGCCCCGTCATTTGAGAACAGCCCGTGATTCTGCAGGACGCAAGCCAGCCACAAAAAAATGGATGCTGTGTGATTCCACTTACATGAGAAACCTACAGGGGTCAAAGCACAGCGACAGAAGGCGGATGGTGGTTACTGGGGCTGGGGAAGAGGGGAAGGGGACTTGACTTTTAAGAGGTGTCCATTTTGGGATTTGCAAGATGAAAAGCGCTTTGGATATGGGATGCACAACACTCTGAATATACTGAACACTACAGACCGCACACTTAAAAATGATTAATTTTTAAAATGATAAATTTTTGTGATGTGTGTTTTACCACAATTAAAAACAAGAGACACACGCGCGCACACACCATACCACACACACCATACCATACAAATCTCTGATAGTGTCAAGGCCAAAACAGATTTCCTAAATGTTACAGATCCCTGAGCAGTTACTTTTTGTTGCTAGTTTAATAGCGGGCTCTATATTGTTTATATTTCTAGAAAACGCAGAAGTTGGGCTGTGTGCCAGATTTTGTTTTCCTCACAACTCCAGTCTGAATGTCAAGCCACACACCAGCCCTCACCTTTCAGCAGCCGCGGAACCCAAGGCGGTGCAGAGCATGGTTCTCTAGCAGTCATGGTTCCGGGACCACCTGGGATGTCACACAAGTTGATTCCCCACCTTCACCCCCACCCTCCCAGGCTCTGAGTACAGGGTTTCCATACAAGCGAACTCAGGCCACCCTTTGAAGTACACACTGCTTTCTCAGGACACCTTACAGGATGTGATCCACCTCCACAGAACAACAGAAGGCACGCCCCAGCCACCAGCCACCAGCACAGCCCTCGCTTGGCCTCACCTGACCCTGAGCTACAAGCAGCCTCCTTGAGGAGGGTGCCCTGGTGGCAGGGAGAGGCAGGGTGAGTGCTGAGCTCGGAGTAGCACCATCCCCTCCCACCAAGGACAGAGCCTCCGCAGCAGACATTTGCAAAGCTCAGCTCAGCTGTTTCTCAGTCCACTGGTTTTGGCGACACTCTTGATAAATCGCTCATTACCAGCCGTCACCTCAGCACAGTGATACAAGATCCTGACAACTCTAAACGGTTTTGAGGAGGGAAGAAAAAGGAAAAAAGAGGGGGAAATGCCTTTCCCATTTTTAATTTGAACTAGAGAAAGTGGGTTGGTTAGCAGGCAAGAGGCAGATGAGCAGGATTATAATGGAAACAAAGAAGGGAGCAGAGGCTGGGTGATGAGCCCACAAGCCACCACATCACAAATGTCCCGGCCTCCTGGGCCCCGGCTCTGAAGACAGATGAGGGTGTCTTCGCAGCTCAGTGCTTCCCACATAGATGATACTAGGCAAAACACAACCAACAGTTACTCAGCTTATTAACTGGGTCTCCTGACCCCTGGAGTGCACTAGGTAACCAGACGCCCCATTACTGTGGTAAACACCCGGCTCTGTGCCCGTGCAGGGGCAGCAAGATGAGCCAGATTGGGAGGCTGCCCCTGGGGAAGGACAGACCCTGGGGCCAAGGACACAGGATGCCCATGCCATGTGCTATGAGGGTGTCCTAACCAAAGTCAGTGATGACTGGGGCAGAAGCACAGAGGACGCAGGGACCACAACCTAACATCATCTGCAAAAGTGACAGAGTAAAGGAGAGGACAGAGGGAGGCGGGGTGTGGGCCAATCCAGGCATTTCCAACAGCTATACAAAGCACAGCGCCTGAGGAGTAGTAGGGGGTGGGGAGCAGTGGCAAGAGGGTCTCTGGGAAGGGAGTGAGCCACCTGGGAACACACCCTGCATGTCTGGGTAAGGAATCTGTACTATATGGTCCAGGAAGGCAATGGACTCCACCAAAGGTATTTCCAGAAGGTAATTCCCTGGAAGCAGAAGATCGGCGAGATGGGTCTGCATTTAGGGCAGAATGAATGCAAGTAGGGAATAAATTTAAGGATTATTTATGAGTCAGAATTGACTTGATTTGGAGAATAGACATAGAAGGTAAGGGAGAATGAAGAGCAAAGGGTGACCCAGGTTTGAGGTAGAGTGGCCATCAGTGAGGAAGAGCCATTCACTGGGGAATGACTGGGGAATCTGTGCTCACTGGTGTCTAGTTTGTGCCAGAACCATGCTAGGCATCGTGCAATGCTATTTCACTTGACCCTGCCACGGTTGAAACTAGTGACCTGGCCTCGTTTTCTGAGCTTCCAAGGGCTTCAGCAGCTCCTGCAAAGTCACCCAGCTAGTCAATGGTAGGAGGTGATATGGGTTTCCATTTGTCCTTTTAACTACACCAGTTGAGGACATATTGAGGTTTAGGTGCCATACAGGTACAGACATTCAGGAGGCCATGGTGAGCATGTTTCTGATGCTCAGAAAGATGACCAGCCTGCAGGGAAGGGGGCTAAGATGCAAGGACAGAAGAGATGTGAGGCTGTGAACAGATGCAATTTCTGAAGGAATGTTCCCCCAAAGAGAAGAAAGAAATGTTCCCCCAAAGATGAAGTGGCATCACAGAAGATGAATCACCAAAGGGTCTGAGTGGGAGCATTTAGGGAAACAGGAGGCAAGTTGGAGGGGAGGGGTGGTTTGTGAGAAAACAAAGACCAGAGAGGCCATGCCTCTCCTATGTCACATGGATATTGACAATGAGGCCTCAGAAGTAGTCACTGCTTCAGCAATTATCAACTTTCTCCTGCCACCTTTAGAATTCAGGATGGACTTGGGCATGCCCTTCTCTCTTGATAACTGTCTACAAGCCAGGATATGCAGCACTTAGCACAGCTCTTGTGTGTGCATGTAAGACTCTTGGTTCAGTGTCTGGACACATCCATCAGACCGCCACCTCCAGGAGGGCAGGGGTTATGTTGTGCTCATCACTACCACAGTTCCCTAGCACCTGGCACCATGCCTGGCACAAAGTTAGTGCTCAATAAATATTAGTTGAATGCCTGGCTGAAGCCAGTTCTGTGCTTGCCCTCAATTGTCAGAAAGCACTGTCCCTGTGCGGCCAGGCCCGGAGCAGCGGCTGCCAGGCTGGGAGCGGCCAGGCCCGGGGGAGCAGGCGGGGCTGGTGCGGCCAGGCCCGGAGCAGCGGCTGCCAGGCTGGGAGCGGCCAGGCCCGGGGGAGCAGGCGGGTCGGGTGCGGCCAGGCCCGGAGCAGCGGCTGCCAGGCTGGAAGCGGCCAGGCCCGGAGCAGCAGCAGCCAAGTCCAGAGCAACTAGGTCAGGAGCGGCAGTGACCAGACCCGGAGCAGCTGGTTGTGGAATGAACCAGAGCAACAGAGGCCAGGCCCTGAGCAGCCAGGCCCAGAACAGCTCACTCCTTGCCTGCCCCTGCCCCACGGCTGCTTCTCAGACATGGCTGGAAACTTTCGTGGGAACTTGAGGGTCTGCTGAATCAAGTGATGAAGGCTTAGATCTGGATGTGTTGAATTAGTTTAGGACTGGGGTGTTGATCTGTGAGTGCCTTGGGTGGGGCCTGGATGAGGCTGGTTGACCTAGTGGGAAATGTCTTTTGTGTGAAGTGTATCATTGGGCATGTGGAGGTATTATTGATATGAGAAAATGCTAAGTAACTGATTTACTATCTGAAAAGGGATTTACTATTGGGGAAATTGAGGGAAGAAGAGACTGAACATAAACTGCACCTATGGATGAGGACAATGGGGGATGGGGGGGGGGGGGACGGAGGGTGGGGTGGGAACCTGGTGGAGGGGGGAAGAAATGAGGAACCTTTGTAATAATATGAACAATAAAGATTGATAAAAAAAAAAAAAAAAAAAAAAAAAGAAAGCACTGTCCCTGCCTCCTTCCCATGCTCAGCAAAGTCAAGGGCGACAGGCTCTCTGCGGCCCCAGGTGACAAGCGGGCAGAGTTGCCATGACAGCATTGCTGATGGGTCTCAGAGGCTGCATCTGACCTTGAGCCACCTTCCTGTTGGCTTGGCTAGGCACCAAGTCATGTACTTGTTTTTGCTGCCTTTCAACCCTGGGGCAGTGGATTTAGCACAAAGGAAGATGTGATTATGTTTTGTCTGTGGAGCATCAATTTGCCCTAAATAAGAATTTAACTGGTAGTCTACACCGCAGGGTGGGAGAGGGACAAGGCTGAGAGGAACCTGTTAAGAGTTCCAAATCTATGCCCAGATCTCTCTGAGCCTTTGAAAAACGTTTTCTTACAAATATTGGCTGCAGGAAAAAGAGCATGACTTGGAAGTCAGAAAATGGGGTGAATCCCAGTTGAGGCACTACCTGGCCATGTGGCCTTGGGCAAGCCATTCGCCATGGTGTCATATAATGTGTACCCTTCCTGACCATCTCTGCTCACCTGCAAAATGTGGAGATGGCCTCAGATCCCCTCCAGTGCCAGAGGGAGGGTGTGGGGAGGGGGGTCCCTATAAGCATATACTGTCTTCCAGACCCATGACAGCATGTGTCCCTAGAGCAGTGTCCAGTACATGCAGTGACATTTCCATCAGGATCCCTCTGGATGGGAAGTGGTTAAGACAGAGATTTGGAGCACAGACTTTGGGGTTCTACAGACCTGGGTGCAGTTTCCTCCATTGGGTGCCTGACCATGGCCCAGTCACTGAATTGTTCTGAGCCTCAGCCTCCTCATCTTTCTAATGGGAATCTTCTAACCTAAAAGAGTCCAGCGATGACTATAGGAAATAATGCATATGAAGTGTTCAGTGAATCTTAGATAGTACAATCATAAATATTTATGGCTTAGACCCCATACATCATGAATGTCACAAAAAAAATTTAGAAATTATACAGACTCTAGAGGATCAAAGCCTCTAGTTGTTTATGAGGACACTGAGACCATACGGGAGAGAAAGAGACTTGCCTTGAGACCTATGGGCAGGAATAGGGCCATGAGCCATGAAACCCAGCTCCTACATGGGGTGACTCCCCATGCTCCATCCCTGGCTCCTACAAGGGCTTTGGCTGGGCCAAGACTAGCTCCCCACACCCTCAGTGTGAGAACCCTGGTGTGTGGCACCCCCAGGCTTCAGCTCCCCAACACTGGAACAGGCTTCAGGTGGAGGGTCTGTCCACAGCAGGCATCGATAGAGCCTCAGGCCTGACTTGATCCAGCTCTCCATGCTGGACCTGTTTCGTGAAGTGGGACATTATGATCATTAGGAGCCTTCCAGTTCCAGCATGCCATGGTTTCCAAAAAGGGCTCAATGAACCACAGTCATGTGTCTGGAAACCTCAGGAAATCAGAATCTTTCCCAGAAGCTCCTTCCTTGGGAGACAAGGGCAGAACCTAAGAAAGCATAGCATGCGCTGTCCTTGTGCAGTTTTCCCCGTTTACTGAGGACGGGCCTGCCTTCCCTCCTTAGCTATGTCCTTAATGTGCCAAAAAGCAGACCGAGCCTCAGACCAGCCTGAAGCTTTTTCAGAACACAGAACGAAGGGGTAGGTCAGCATCTAGAACAGCGTGTGCCTGGAACACGCTCTCTGTAAAGCCTTTGCAACTACGAGAGCCCTGGACTGAGCCTAGAGGCCAGGATGGCACCTGGCACTCTCCTGTCTCTCGCTGGCTGGGCCTGTTGCTCTGCTGTAAATGAAGTGATCCCAACTCCCAGCTGTGCTCCCCCAGCTCCTTCTCCTCCTCAGGGCACCCAGCAGGTGGGACCGGGATTTGCTTATGGTCTGCCATCCAGCCCCAGAGTCAGAGATATCACCCTTAAAGGTATGCCTTAGATACTGAATACTGCTGAGAGATACAACAGCAATAAATATTTTTGCTGGTGGAGGCCCTTGCCTTCAATTTGTTAAAAAAAAAAAAAAAAAAAAAAAAAAATCTTTCCCTGGCTGATTTGGCTCAGTTGGTAGAGCATCAGTCTGCGGACTGAAGGGTTCTGGTTTTGATTTTGGTCAAGAGCACATGCCCGGGTTGCAGGCTTGATCCCCAGTAGGGGGTGTGCAGAGGGCAGCCGATCAATGATTCTCTCTCATCATTGATGCTTCTATCTCTCTCCCTCTCCTTTCCTCTCTGACATCAATAAAAAAATATATTTTTTATAAAGACACAACATGTGTGAAGTGCAATAAAATGATGTGTCCATATTCACCATCATGTCCAAGCCCAAGCCCAGATCAAAACAGAAAAAAAAAACAAAAAACTATAGGCATGTTTACAGAAGGGAGGGAAGAAAAGGAGAGAGGGAAGGAGGGGGAAAGGGAGTGGAGAGACAGGAGAGAAGAAGGGAGGGAAAAAGGAGAAAGGGAGGGAGGGGGCTGAAGTCCTCCCCTGGACTAACATTCTAAGATTCTACAAAGCTAAGTTCTAAGGCAATTTATCAATGGTGTCCATCTGGCACAGCTGCATTAATGTTGGAATCATCACGCCGGAAGCAAAAGAAATAAATTTCAGCTGTGAAATGACATGTTGATCCCTTTCAGCTAGACACAGCTAACTTCCCACAGTGCAGGCCCTACAGGCACATGTATATGAAGGCTGCCTGGCTGGCCACGTGGGTGGTCCTGCCTCTGCAGTAGGTCTCTCAGTGATGCTGGTGTCCAGGGTCATGACTGGTTTCCAGCTGCCAAGCTCACTGTTTATTCAGTTCATCCCCGAGCCTTATAGTTCCTTTTCAGGAACACGACATAGCGGCATCCTGTATTCATGAACATAAAGAGGAATGGGTCAACGGAGCTGGAAATAAGGAGCCAGAAGAGGAAGTAAATCACTGAGTGCTTATGAGTCGGCAACATTGGCTTGAAAACCTTAGTGCAAATGGCTGGTCTGGTTTTTGTTCTTCTCATCAAAAGATCAGATGCAGGATTGAACCCGGAGGCACCAAGACTGTGTGTGTGAAGATATGTATGAAACGGTGTGGCTTTCCTCAGCTGCTGGGGTCTCTGCGGAGATCTTTACACAGGCCTCGCATTAGCTCTCATCAAGTCACTTAACGGGCTCAGTCAGTAGGTGTGACCTTGGCTGGTAAGTCTCTGGACTTCTCTGGGACATTCTGTCTTCACGGGAAGGTCTGGTGGCTGAGCTGGCCACTGAGCTCTGAGATTCTAGACAGCAAATCAGGGCTGAGGCTTTGGAATAAAACTCAGGAGCACAAAAGTCTGAATTAAACCTGCCGTCTCTCTCCTCCATTCTCTGTGGGGCCTTCCTTTAGCTGTGACAAAGCCAATACAGTGTGCTCTCTTTCTTGGATGCTAACATTGGGTGGAAATGTGCTTTATTCACAGGCAGTCCCCCAGCAGCATGCCACCATGGGCCCAGCAGAGACACGGAGCCCAGACAGAGACCCAGGATGCCCAGCACAGAGCTGGCTCTGCCCCGCACCCGACCCCTGTCTCCGGGCCCACAGGTGGGTCCCAAGCATGAAGCTGAACTACCAGGGAGTGACAGACAGCCTTCTAGCCAGACCTTCACCCTGCCCTGACCAGCGCAGGAGGGAAAGGAGGAGCAAGGGTCTGGGGGCCGGGCGGGCAGGGCAGGCAGCCAGAGCCCTCAGCAGCAGCTGCAGGTGCCCGTGTGCACGCGGAGGATGCCGCGGCTGTGCAGGTGCAGGAAATTGAAAATCTCGGAGGGCATGGCGTGAAAGCCGGGCCGGGGCTTGACGTTGTCATAGTAGTGGTGCGTGATGTAGAGGCCTGCGGGGTTCATGGGGAAGGCCCAGAAGCCGAACAGATGCACCTCCTCGCAGAGCTCCAGCGCGGCGGTGACCAGGATGAGGCCGGTGCTAATGCGCTTGGCGCGCACGCCCAGGCCGAGCCAGTAGCGCGACACGTTGACCAGGTACTGCGGGTGGAAGTAGTAGACGGCCTGCGGCGCCTGGAAGTCGTCCAGCACGTACTTGACGCGGATGGACACGTCGGTGTTGCGCGTGTTGTAGAAGGCGGGCAGCAGCACGGACGCATTCTCGTAGCCCTGCAGCACGCGGTAGAAGGGCCGCCGCCACTTCTCCAGCTTGTGGAACCTGGGCGGGGCGCAAGCGAGAGGGTCGGCCACCCGCGCCCCTGGCGCCCCCAGCCCCCAGGCCCCGCGCCCTGGCTCCCCCAGCCCTGCACCCTTATCAAAGGAGGGAGAGAGGGGCTCTCTGGCCATCCCTGCCTCCTTTCATCTCAGTCACCTCAGCGAGGACTGTCTGGGCGTCCCTGGGACAGGTATATGTTTGGAAGTGGATGTAGGAGAGGACAGCCTGGACCCAAAGGGCAGATATCTAGTATGTGGCTGCCAGAGGGGGGCAATGCCGACCTCATGTGGCCGAGGCTGGCCGGGGTAGGCTCAGTGAGATGGGAGTGGAGGCTTTCCTTGGAGCCCTGAGGGCATTCACCTGCCCTGGCTTCCCTAAGATCCTAATGAATCTCAAACCAGCTGCCTGCCCCTCTCCCCACCAGCAGCCCGCACTCATCTTCCTTTTACATTAAACAGCCCTCAGGTTGGCTCACCTCACAGGTGTCAAACGCCCCTTCACTCTGCCGCCTGTCCCTGTTCCCGGCCCTCTTACCCAATTTAACAACTCCCCCTCCTCTTACCCTTCACCTGACCTGGATGGTGTCACACAGGTTGGAGTTTTAACACATGAACCCCTTCCCCGGAGGCCTCCCAGACAGACAGATCCCAGGAGGGAGTGGGGGGGGGGATCTTTGGAGCGGGACTCCTTCCATGCAGCCTGGACACACTGCATAGGGAGCCGCCCTCCCCTCACACCCTGGGAGCTCTGACCCAGAGCTCGGTGAGGACAGTCTAGACAGCACTAGACTGTCTAGAAATATAATGCAGGCCACATATAATGTTAAATGTTCTAGAAAGCACATTTAAACAGGGAGAAAAATGGGTGCAATTAATTTTTATAATATATTTTATTTAACCTGATATACTCAAAATGCTATCATTTCAACATTATAATCGATATAAAAATTTCATGAGATAGGGCCTATCCTCTTTTTCATGTTACATCTTGGAAATGGGTGCGGGGGGTGGGGGGGGGGGTAGTTCCACTTATAGATGGCACATCTCACTCTAGTCTGGCCACATTTCAGTGCCAGTTGCCACATGTGGCCAGTGGCTACCATACTGGACCCCACAGGTCTAGACGGAGGGCCACTGACCTCTCTGTGATGATGCTGGGGTTCACGGTGACCACGTCCGTCTTCACCCCCACATCCATGGTGTACTTCTCTGAGATGGGGGGTAGGTTGCACCTGTGGAAGAGACCAGGCAGCCCGACGGCCTATGGTCAGTCATTCCCGATGGAGCAGGGAGTGGGCAAGGGCAGGTGGCAAGGGAGGGATGATCACATGAGAGAAGGATACAGAGGCGGCCAGCTGGGTGGAATCTCTGTGGCCTGGGCATGGAGGGGCCAACCTGGAGCATGAGGGTCTGTAGGAGTGGGGAGTGGGGGATTAACCAAGTAAAGGGCAGCATGGGGGCGGGGGGGGGGGAGAGACCAAGGGGAAGGGCCTAAAGGGGGAGGAGGGTGGAGGCCGAAGTAGCAGTGCAGGCCAGGATGGTTCTTTTACCGGAAGACGAAGTCGGCGCTGTTGATCTCCCTCCCGCAGCGGCTGTTCTTTAGGATGCCTCCGTTGCCCACCACTGCGCACTTCTTAAACTGGGACCGGTAGTAGGGCATGTCCTGGGGAGACAGGGTCACAGCCTTCATCTGGTGCTCTCACCTCCGTACCCACCTCCACCTCTACTCCTCCTGGTCCCATGAGGCAGCCTTGTAGGGAACGTTAGAGAAAAGTGGTTATTCCACTCTGCAGGTGAGAAAAGAGGTCAAAGGTTTGTTCTCAGTTCCAAGGGCAGCTACAAATGAGCTGGGGCCTGAAGGCAGGTCTCCATGGCTGTTTTCAATAAGCTCTGGGATGCATTAGGTTTCCAGTGCACATCAGTTTCCCCGTGTTTGGAAGCTCAGCTTTTAATGACTGCTAGTGTACATATTTTAATGATGAAAGCAGATGTTCTGGGGATGACGGCAGCAGAAATGAGGGCAGGGCCACCTGGGACCAGAGCCCTAAACCTCAGCCCTTTCAGCTCAGGGCGAGGTGCAGAGCTGCCCTCTGTCCATGAGGAGGACACAGGCCTGGACAGAAAGGTCATAGAGGCTGGGACAGATGCCAGGACTTGGCAGCAGCAGGGATAAGAGGCTGGAGTGACCAAACAAAGCCACATCAGGGGAACAGTTAGAGACTGGGGACACCCAGGGAGCCTAGGACTTACCCTGAGTGATGATGACAGTCACAGGGGCACTGGGAGTGAGTGTCTCACAGCGCTTTGACCTCGTCACACCTCAACTGGGGGTTACCTTGGTCTGGGTACTGGCTGCCCACAAAGGCATTCTAGGCATGCCCTCCAAGGGACCACAGGCAAATTGGCAGAAAAAAGCAAATACTGGCCTGACGCTTAAGAAACCTGCTTCTGTCACATTTCCCCATGGGCCACCTGAGGCAGGGGCCGCTGGGCAGGCACAGGGCAGACACATAGACCTGGAGGCAAGGGCAGGGTGGCCAAACATCCCTGATGCTGGGACTATCGGACTTTGCCCGGGATGCAGGACTCACATTTGGTCAAACTGGGAAAATCTGGACAAACCAGGATTGGGCCCCCTCATCATAAGCCCCAAATTCAATCTTGGTTTTGTCCTATAATGGGTGAGGGCAAGTTTTTTGAGCTCTCAGTGTTTTGGTTTTGTAAATTTTATTAGATGTGTTATAAATTACATTGCTGTATTTTGTGTATTTTGTGCTGCTCAATAGGATGTAACTCTGGGTTTCTCGCCTTGGCACTGACATTGCCTTGTTGTTGGGGTTGAGCTGTACACTGCAGCTTCCCTGGCTTCACCCCACTAATGCCAAGTGTGCTCCCAAGTTACAACAACCAAAATGTCTCCGGGCATTGCCAAATGTCCCAAACCATCCCCCTGTGGAGAACCACTGGTGTCAATGAAAAGCCTTCCACTGCAGGGCCCTAGCCCAGAGGGGACTCAGCAAGGGACCAGGTTGTTATTGGATGGCCCGAAAGTCCCCTTCATCTTGGACAGAAGGAGGCTGCTGGGCAGCTGTCCTCCCAGCACACACCAGCTGGCCAGCCTGCAGGAGAGCGGCCCCGTCAGCAGCTTGGGCTTCTGTTGGGACCGGCTTCCAGGGAGGCGTCATGGAAAAAATCACACAACAGGCTCATTGGGAATGTGGCAAAAGCTAAGGAGATGTCACAGCATCTATGGGAGACTGTCTTTCCTCGTGACCCATTCTCACTAGAGGGACAGGCCCAGGGGGCCAAGGCAGGGAAACAAGGGTATCTCATGACCAGTGGAGGGAAATGCACTGTTTGACTTTTATCAGAGAAACAGAAAACACCGATCATCTTTGGAGAGACCATCGGAAGCTTTTTCTTATGTTGTCTGTCAGTGTTTCCCAAACTTCTGTAAATCAAAAACTACCTGAGTGCCTGGGCTCCTTCCCAGAAACATGGAACCAGAATCTTCAGTGTGGAGGTAGGAGGCAAGAAGCTCTATTTTTTACAAACTCAAAGAGATATGCACTTTTAGGGAGTGTGGGAAATACTTCTGTGTCACATGCTCTAATTCAAGGGGTCTCAAAGTACAGCCCCACAGGCCACATCTGACCCATCATCTACTTCTGCATGGCCTGCAAGCTAAAAATGGATTTTACGTTTTGTAATCGTTGGAGAAAAATCCAAAGGAAAATATTTTGTGACACATGAAAGGTATATAAACAAATGTCAGCGTGTAAGAGGAACTGAAGAGCCATTGGAGCCGGGCCACGCTCACTGGTGTACTCACAGCCAGGCGCTTTGTACACGAACGATGTAGGTGAGTAGCTGTGAGAGAGACCAGATGGCCAGCAGAGCCTAAAATATTTATTTTCTGGCTTTTTCCAAAGAACCCTTGGCAATCCCTTCTCTAATTCCTGGGCCTCAGCAGCCCATGCCCATGGCCTTCCTTGGACCCTCATGTCATAACCGAGCTGTGTGTCACCCACTGGCAAGTTCACTTGCTGTCAACCTCATGTTCCAAGTCTTGCAAGACCTACCTCGCCAAGATGGCTCACACCCCATGTCCGCCAGCACTGGGACCTGGGAAAAGAAGTCTGGTACCTCCAGCTCCTCCCGGTGCCCCCACAATGCCCACTCTTACCAGGACACTCTGCCTGAGTAACAGAATGCAGAGAAGCCCTGGGCTCTCTTTCATTAGCCTTCAGCCCGGATGTCATCCCAAAAGACCTGAACAACCAGTTTTTCTATAAACTGGGCTCAAGTCCTTCCTGGAGTCCAGCACTCTACAGGAGGTGCTATTGTCCCTTGGAGCCTTCCTCCTCTCTGGGTGGTAATCATCAGAATCAGCTGAAAATGCAGGAAGGCTTAGGGCCCCTTCTCTGAGAGTCTGAGGCAGCAGCCAGGCCAGAAGTGAGTGCATGTACCTAAGCCTCAGTGACCTGAGCAGTTCGCACACGTGGATACTCCTCTGTGGTCCCCATGACCATGGAGCGATGGTGCTGGCCCTGGATGGATGGCCACCTCCAGATCTCTTGTATGTGAAATGAAAAAATAAATGTGCATCTTCTTTAAGACTCTGATGTTTTAGATTTTCTGTTATAAGCAGCCAAACCCATTCCAGTCGAAACCCCATGCTACAGATGGGCAGACTGAGTCTTTGAAAAACAAAACGACCACCTAAGGTCATCCACTTTAGACCCCTCTTTCTGCACCGTGCTTTATATTGGTTGATTTCTTGTGCATGCACAGCTTTTGCATGGATGTTTTTGCTCTTGTGCCTCCCGTGGATGGGGGACAAATGCTTATCTTCAGGATGTCCTCTACCAGCAATGCAACAGCCAAAACTTTATAACCACATTCTTGCCAAAAGTCACCCAAATAATAGCCAGTTGCCATTCATCATGCCAGACAGAACCCAGAGGACATTCTACTGAGCCTCAGAGCATAGCCAACCATGGCCAGGACTGGGTACAGAGGGCATAGCCGAGCAGTGCCAAACCACTGGGCATGGCCACAGAGGGCCCGGCTGGGTCAGCTCCACTACCCTGCCAAGACCGCCCTACCCAAAGCAGCACCTTGGGAAACATGCGGAAGATCTCCTGGTTGATGTGGAAGATGCCGCTGGTGTCCACCTCGTACTTGAGCTTTGTCCCCAGGGGCGTGTTCTTCTGGGTGGTGAAGAGGAAGGAGGGGGCATTGCAGCATCTGGACAGAGTGGACCTGCAGGCAGGGGACAGACCGGAGAGACTGAGGACATGGGACAGAGCAGAGCCTCTTGAAGAACAGAAGCCTCAGGACATGGAGGCCCTTCAGGGAGCCCCGGGAGCCCCAATTTCTCCCTCCTCCCCTTCCCGTAGCACACCTCTGCACATGCCACCCTTTCCATATCCTCCCAATGCTTGGGTTTTTCTGGTGGGAGCTAGGTTTCTCTCTGTCCCCATTGACCACACTGGCCTCCAAGGGTTCCACCCACTTCCTCGTCCGCCACCTCCCTCCCCCATTTGAACGAAAGCCCCCAATGGCAGGGACCCTACTTCTCAGGATCTCACATGTCAGTCACACAGGTGCTTGACAACCAGGTGCCTGCCAATTGCAGAACAAATCATTCCTCATCTGAGCTCCCATTAAGATCTGCTGAGCTTTCTGCTACTTCCTGGAAACGGGCCAATGAACGTGGAAACTGAGTCCTCATGGAAACCTGGGGATGCAGAGCTCTTCCTCCGGCCATTGGCCCCTTTATCAGACTCTAGACAAAGCATGTTCCCTGTATGATGGGGCCCAAAAGCCAAGACACACACAGTCAACAGAAATGTACTATTTCAATCATTTAGAAAGTGGTTTAGGAATTGGGCGAGGGTGGAGGAGGGGGGTGCAATTGGGACTGAGTTGATACTGGATGACTTCCTGCAGAATGAAATCTGGCTGCCAAAGCAAGTTTCCAGGAGTTCATTATTTAATTTTAAAAATAATTAAAACCTGTGGTTTTTCACTCACAAAAACACTCAAATATGAGCTCCCAGAAGGGTGGACACTGAGACGAGGTAAGCAGGCTCAAAACACCCTCGGAGGGAGAATGTGGCTGCTGAGGCCGGCCTGGGAGTCAGCCAGCCACAGAGCCTGGTTTTTCTCTTCCCTGTGGCTGGCATCCTACCGGCGGGGCATTCTCTCAGGCCTGCTGGTGAGGCCTGATGCTGCGTCAGATCCTGGGCACGCCCTTCTCTCACTCCCCTTCCTCCCCTCTCCCCCTCCGCCCTGGTTGCAGAGGGGCAAGGCTTGACAAAGGATGCAAATTGCTACCCACTCCATTAGGGACTGTGGGCCCAGGAGGAAATGCTTTCTCCTAAAGCAGCAGCAGTGGGCTGAATCCACCTGGCCTTCTTCCCCTGACACTGGCTCCAGGCACAGTCACATCCGGTGCCCAGGCAGCCACAGGAGGAACGGAATGCCTTCTCCTTGGAGCCTAGATGATGACCATTAACTAAAATTGAAAAGGAGTTCTCTGGAAAGTTTACACTCAAGATTCTGGGTGGATACTTGGCTTGCCAACCTGGTGTCAAAAAGCCTGAGTTCTAGTTTCTGCTCTGCTTCCACCAGCTGTGGGGCTTTGGGCCGGTCTCTAGACCTCCCTGGGCCTCAGTTTCCTTATCTGTACAACACAGGGCTGGGTCTTCTGACCCTCTGTAATTCCATGACTCCAGGTTGCCAAAGCCAGGGAGGTTATACAAACTTTCTAGGACTTGATTCTGGCAGGGACTTCACTGGGGAGTTCAGCAGGCTACTGGTTGTGGAGAGCATTCTTTCCTGTGGAGGGATGGGTTTCCCCAAGGGAAGGCCAGAGGCCTGGCCAGGCAGGGGCCCTGGACCAGCATGACAAACCAGCATCTGGGCTGTTTATCTTTGTTGGTCCGGAAACTCGATCTTGTCAGCCCACTGGAGGAGACTGACTCATACTAACCAAACTCAGCAGTGCCTGATATATAAACCAGAATGCCAATGTGGTTCCCTTTGTAAGCAGTAGGGTGAGGGAAGGCCTCCATTACAGGATTCCTTTCTAGAATGCTCATGCCTGTCTCCTAGTACAATCCTCCTACCCACCACACACACACCTCACTGTACCAGATTCCTGCAGACCTGAATTGAAAATCTTATTGTTCCATGAGCTTGTAATAAGAGCAAAGGGAAACAATGACTAAACTTGAAGGTTTTTCCTCTTAAAGTATGGCCTAACCTGATGTCATCCCCACTTCCCATGCCTGAAACCACCCCCCATTCCCATCCCTGAAGGGTCTCAGTTACCCTCAAGTCTCTGCCCCACAAGCTTCTGGCTGATCCCTGCCAAAGGGCCCTACACCTCTCTCTGTCTTCCTCCTGTCACATGATCTTCCTGGTGCTCATATTATTATTATTATTATTATTATTATTATTATTTCTTTATATTGTGAATCCCACCGATGAGGCTTCTGTCCACTCAGCCTTGTGCATCTCCCTGACCTGGTCCCGCCACTCCCTCAGGGCTCTCGGGCCACACCCACCCTGAGGGGTTATCTGCCAGCCCAGTCCCCACTGTAATCTCTCTTTGTAAGGGTGGATTGGGAAGCACTTAAGCCCAGACCTTGAACCTCCCTGCTTCTTCCTGTACTTGGCTCAAGTTCATATTCTGCTTCTATAGTAGGCGACTCTCAAAGGCTGGAGAACTTTAAGCTCTGGGAGCTTATGATCTATAAATTTTGTTCGAGAGCCACGAGAAAATCACCTACAGCAGCACTCAAGCATTCAGTGTAGGCTGTAACAGCAGTCGCCAGCCAATCGGTGATCCGTGTGGTCTGAAAGATTGGTGACCGCTGAGCTATAAGAACTCTAGAGCTCGAAGGAGCGGCTGCTGGGCTAGAGGTGAGGAGGGGAACGGAATGGGGCTATGGATGGTGCTTACTGTGCCTTCAGGCCCAGGCCTGCTAGAGACCTTCTGAAAATCGCTTCACCTCGGTGAGTCTCAGTGAACCTCGGCTTTACTGGAGACAACACCACTGACCTTGCAGGGATGCTGCAGGGTGAGAATGTGAAGGACAGCACCCAGCAGGTGCTGTCTAAGCCTGCATGCTGAGTCAGAACCTCCCCCCAGCACAGACTCCAGAGCCCTGTCAGGATCAGCTCCAAGGGGATGCCCGGGGCTGGGCCTTGCAGGACCAGGAGGATGTGCAGAGGAGGCAGGAAAAGAACCCCGGGCAGGACAGACGCATCATAGGTACTTGAACTGGTTGGCTTCAGAGATGTTCAGCGCCCATTTGCACATCTGCAGGCTCCTCCACCTGTCGAACAGCTCCGACTGCTTCACCCTTGGGGAGTGAAGGACAGAAGAGTCCATGAAGGCCCAGGCTGGCAGAGCATCGTCATTCCCAAACATGCTTCCTCCTGCTCCCCCCTCTGCCAAATCCTGGCTGGTCCTTTGTATTAACTGTATTTTCTCAGTTTCTGTATTCCTGATGCTCTGGCCCTGGGGAAGTGGGGGGGGGGGGGGGTGGCTTGCTAATTCCTAGAGATGGCAGACAATCATCTCCTGCAAGCACATCTTTCATATCACACTGGCCAATCCAGAGTCCATACCTGCAACCACCTCCTTTATCAACCCAACCAGTGGCTCACCGCCCTAATCATGCTGGGGCCAGGTCTCAGGCCACTAGGAGCAGTCCCTATGCCACAGAGCCCATAGAAAGCGTTCAAACTGGCCAGTCCTAAACCTGTCCACCCCACCTTGCCATTCCTCCCTGTGAGAATCGCATGAAGGCTCTCACCCAGGTTTCCCCTCCCCTCTTCTGCTTCCACAGGTGGCCCTGCAAGGTGAGCCGAGCCTCCTCTTTCTGAGATCTGGGAGTATCAGAACTTCTTCCTTCACAATGTCATGTCTGTGTCTGGGTGTCTTCCCATATCTGATTTTTTAAAAGCCAGGCTACTTTGTAAAGCATTCTTCCTCACATACCCCCCCCCCTCCTCCAGAACCTGCCAGGAACCTATAGGGGGCAAAGGAATGTCTGTGCACCCCTCACATTATGCTTAGCACACAGTAGGGCTCAGTCCACAGTATGTCCTTCACACAATTTCCAGATAACACATAGGAAGAGCTGAGAAATCTGGGGCATGTTCCTTTCACTGGAACACCCATCTGCAAGGCTTTCTTTATGCTTGTCGGGTTTTGAACATCTCGGCTTATGGTGCCTAACGTGCTCTGTAGGAAGGGAACGTCTAAATCAGGTGGGATTCGCGCTTTGACTGAAACCAGCGGAAAGCATTAGATCGTTGGACCTCTTCCCACCGAGCGGTGCACAGACTGGAGTTTTTCAGGAATGCTGCATGGACCATAATCTCCTGCCCACCACAGTCCCTGCCCTGTGCCTATACCCTGCGCTGTCCAGAGTCCCCTGGTGGTGGCGGTTCAGAAGTTGGCTGGCTTGGGCATGGTACAGACAGCAGCCCTGTAAGGTCATTCTGGTTTGCTCAAGAATGGGGAGGTGGCCAGCCCCCAGGAACTGGGTGTTAGCAAAAAACTACTGTAACTGTGACTCTTACCCTGGGGTCCACTGAAGGGCTCACGGGGACCCTTGAGCCCCCTGAATCATAGTGACAATCTCACGTTTGTCCACCGGGTACACATCTTGGGGAAAACTGGAAGCTTTCATCAGGTTCCCAAAGGGATCCATGATTTCTTTTTTTTAAGGCAAATATCGCCCTCACCAGTTTTGCTCAGTGGATAGAGCATCAGCCTGCGGACTGAAGGAACCAGGTTTGATTCTGGTCAAGGGCATATACCTGGGTTGCAGGCTCAATTCCAGGTCCTGGTTAGGGCACGTGCAGGAGGCAACCAATGGATGTGTTTCTCTCCCATCGATATTTCTCTCTTTCCCTTCTTCTTCCACTCTCTCTAAAAAAATCAATGGAAAAATATCCTCAGGTGAGGATTTTTAGAAAATAATAATAAAACAAATAAAATAAAAAGGGCAAATAATCACTTAACCATAAGATTGAAGAAATAAACTAAATAAAACAGGTTCATTCTACAGAGCTATTTTCCTGTGATTAACTGCAGGAGGATATAGTTGTTCCCAAACAGGGCAAGCCTTTCCTACAAGGGACACATGACAGTGGGTGGAGGGGTGGTTTCAGGAGAAGTCGGGATAGCAACAAAGTCCTTGAATTTGGGAAGCAGAGTGGGACATGGGCCTCAAACCCAGTTCACACACCTGCTTGGCAGCTTTAAAGAGCTGGAAGGAGCACCCCTCTCATCCTGACCCTTCCTCTGGCTTTCCCAAACGCCCACAGCAGCTTTCATCTCTCAAGCTCCTGTGACACCAGAGTAGAAGTGTCATTGCACAGTGGCACCCTGGCTCACACACTGATTCCCTCCCCCAGTTCCTGCAACCCAGGCCCCAGAGCAGCCCCCTCCATGCCAATGCCTCCCAGAAACACAGCCGGAGTTTCAAGTTCAACTGTTACCATCATCTGAGCCCCATTCTTTGAGCCTCCAATGCCCTCATCACACATGGACCAAGGATGGGGCCTGAACACCCAGCCTTGAATCCTGGCTCCATCCCCAACTTGCAATGTGACCTCAGCTAAGTCACTTAATCCCTCTGAGACTCAGCTGCTTTATCTGTAAGATGGATACAATAACCTCCGTCCTGCCCATCTCAAAGGGTGTCAGAAAGATCCAGTGATAATGTTTGTAAAAATATTTTATAAATTGCTTTACTGATGCACAGATCACCTTTAAGATGAAGGGTGATCCCAGGCCCTTACCTCCTTTCTCCCAAGACACCACGTTCCAGAAGAAAAAAAAGGTATAAGCTACCAGGTGAATAGAATAATGGGAGTGGGTGGAAGGTCTCAGTGGAAGAGAGATTTCAACAAGTGTGTGGAAGGAGAAGGGGTGACATAAGGAGGAAGTGCACAGCCCAGAGATAGAGCTGATTTGCACAGAAAATTTTAAAGGGGGTGGAGGACAGGGCAGGAACATAGTGTTAAAATGATGATGAGTTGTGAGTCCATATCTGAAACAATCAAGCCCACCCCCACGGTGGCCAGATATTTAATGTCAAGCAGAGGAGGGAAGAGGGAATGAATCAGACTGTCAGTTCCGGCTTCTTAAAAAAAAAAAAAAAAAAAAAATTATCACTCCCAGTGAAAAGATCTGGTTGTTCTAACAGAAAAAGGGCCAGCAGCAATCTTGAAGACCTACTCTCCATGAAAGCTGCTCTCAGCCTCATGTATTGTTTAAATAGGAACTAATAACCAAGGGCACCTGGTCAACCTGAGAAAATAGACCATGATAAACCATCAGATAAGATGACCACAGAGAATTCATTGCAAAGAAATTAAAAACATTAATTAGAAAATATATATGCAGCCCTATGTTCATTGCAGCATCATTTACAATAGCCAATTTATGGAGCAGCCTAAATGCCCATCCATAGACAAATGCATAAAGAAGCTGCGGTACATATATTCAATGGGGTCGGATTCAGCCATAAAAAGGATGGAATCTTACCATTTATGACAACATGGATGGACCTAGAGGGTATTATGCTAAATGAAATGAGTCAGACAGGAAAAGACACATACCATATGGTTTCATTTATATGTGGAATTTTAAAAAATGACCAAACAAAACAGTAACAAATGTATAGATTCAGAGAACAAATTGGTGGTCCATAGATAGGAGGGGGGTTGGAGGATGGGTGGAAAGGTAAAAGGGATTAAGAAGCACAAATTACCAGTTATTAAAATAGTCACAGAGATGTAAAGGACAGCTTAGGGAATATAGTCAGTAACACTCTAATAACTATGCAAGGTGTCATATGGGTGTCATAATTATGTTAGGTGGGTACGAGACCTATTGGGGTGATCATTTCATAAATCATGATAATGTCTGATCACCATGTTGTACACCTGAGACTAATATAATACTATATGTCAACTGTAATTGAAAAATACATTTTAAAAGAGAAAATATTTGATTTTTTGGTATGTCATAATTATGGGCATCATTTTCCTATTTTTGTTTTCATTATTTTTTTCATAATATAAGCTTGTGTATCTAATTAAACTGTTCCATATTAATCACTATTTGTGCCTACACACAAAACTAAATTAAATAAATAAAAATACTGGCTTTAAAAAAAGAATGACTGCAGAGAGAACTATTGGAGTCATGAAACAGAACTCCAAGATATTCTCCTGAGTCCCCAGAGCTATTCAAGAAGTCACGAGGTCCTTAAAATAAGAACAGGCCCCTCTGAGAACAAAGTAAGAGCTCCTGAGGGGGAAAGTTCACTAGATGAGACAGAAGATAAAGTCAAGAACTTTTCTCAGAAAGCAGAGGCAAAGGGTAGGGAGAAAGCAAGAGAGGCAATTAAACTATATGAGTGCTAGAGGAGCCAGTATTCAACTCTTACATACACTAAAAAGAGGAAACAGAGGAAAATGAAGAGGAGCAAATACAAAGGACTCGAAGAGAACGCTCGAGAGTTGGGCATGAGCCCATTGAAGAGGTCCCATTAGTGTGCAGGTACCATCAGGACGTTTCAGAACGCCATGATCTGAAAAGGCAGGTCACCTCCAAAGGAACAAGTGTCATGTGCATGTGGCCCTGGGTGCTAGCAGATGACAGAAGCTCTTCAGCAGCATTCTGGAGGGAAATGACTTCCACCTAAAACACCAACCCCCCCAAACCAGCGATCAAGTATAAGGGAAGAACTAAGTCATTTAGACACAGAAGGACTCAAAAGTTTACCTCCCACCCATTCTTTCAAGGAGTAAAAGCAAAAATGAAGGAGTAAACCAAGAAAGAAGTGCCTATGGGTTCTCAGGTGAATCCGACCTAAGCAGGCAGAGAAGGAAGCCCTGGAGAGATGGTGTGTGGCCTATCAGGACACAGCCTGTCCGGGTGAGGCAGGAGGATGAATGGAAACCTGGGGGAATGCCTAGTTGAGGGAGAAGGCGGGTATGGATGGAAAATAGGGCATAATAGATTTGAGAGTTCAAGGGGGAAAAGATGACTAGAAGCTTCAGGGGGGCGGGGGGGAAAGGGGAGGAGAACTGTACAAAAAGAAGATGGAATCACCATTATCTGATCTTCAAATTTTAGAATCAACCTATAGAGAAAAGCCCCCAAAAGGTTGCTATGGTTACACATAGAATGTACATGTTGGCAGCCTTGACATTTTAAAGGTAAACTCCTGGATGACCGAAGCCAGCGGCTGGAACTAAAATGTAGGAGTAATTTTAACGGCCTCATATCACAAAGTGCTGGATCAAGAGATGCTGCCAATGTTTAGTAGAAAAAGAAGCAGGTTATTGGGCAATCTATAGATAGCAGAACTACAAATAGCAACAGTCCTCACCCAGCATAGTGGGGCGGGGCTGGGTGTAGGCTAAGGGAGCTGAATCCTCACTGGCCAAGGCAGGACGGGAGGGGACGCTGTGCAAACGGGATAAGTCAGAAGACAATGGCATGCAGTGGTACTGAGATGTATGAGAGCAGGTACCGCAGAGACAGCCAAGAGTTGGAAGCAGCAGGGTGGGGTTAGGGAGTGGGGCAGGGGACTGTTGCTTTTTATTATCATAAACTTTCGTATGTTTCTAGCCATGTGATAGAGGTGGCAATAATAATGAGATGATAATGGCCATCTCATTTTCCTCCCCCCCCACCCCAACCTCCCTTTTCTTTCATGACCTCCTCTTTTCCACTCTGGTCACATTCACTTTTCCATCCATTCATTCACTTAATAAACGCATCCTGAGCCCATGCAGGGCCAGGCTCCAGGACTCAGAGACGCCTGGAGAACCCTGCCAGACCTGGCCCCAGCCCCTCTCCTGTCTCAGTGAGGGCCCCACCCCAGAAAGAGGGGAAGTGGTGGCAGGAGAGGGCAGCTGGTGAGGTGAGATCATCTGGTTGTGAGCACAGGCACAAGCTGATCTATAAGAATAAAAGGATAATATGCTAATTAGACCAGATGTCCTTCCTGACGGGGGCTACAAGGGAAGCCCAGGTCCCAGGTGCCAGCAGCTGGGGGAAGAAAGGCCTACTCTTGTACAAATTTTGTGCATCGGACCTTTAGTTTAAAAATAAAAATAAAGAGGCTCTAGAATGACTAAATTCAGCAATATAGGGACAATGCATTTTCATAACAAATCATCATTGCGCAATTCCTCACAATCTGGTATTGTCAGGAGCGAGGCCTGTCCGAGTGGGGTTTTCCAGCTCACTGACTTTCCCCACTGAGAGGAGCAGTGCTGGATGAGAATCTCCCCAGATGAATCGAGCAGGTCCCATCTCCTCAGACAGAACTCCAGCTGACCCCATGCGCTGAAGGGCCTCGGAGCGCATCCATCCAAGCCCCTCAGTTCACAGATGAGAATTTAGCCTTTTCCCAATGACCACAAGCTCTGGGCTGGAGCACAGCACGCAGGTGCCCAGGCTCCCCATCGCACCCCAGAACATTTGTAATTCGGGCTTGAAACCAAGGGCCTAGGCAATTTCTAATTTAGTCCCTAAATGGAAGGTGTGATAGGGACTTCTAGGAGCTGAGTAGTATCTCCCCCAAAATTCATATGTTGAAGCTCTAACCCCCAGCATCTCAAAACGTGACCATCTTTCTGGGACAGAGTCTTTGGGGAGGTGGTTAAGTTAAAATGGCATCCCTAGGGTGAGCCCTCGTCCACTGTGACTGGTGTCCTCATTAGAGGAAATGAGGACACAGGCACCCAGAGGGACGACCGTGTGAAGACAGGGAAGGCAGCCATCGCAAAGCCACAGAGAGACCCGGCCCTCCTGGCACCTCCCCCTGACTCCCGCCCACAGAACTTGGAGAAAAGGAAGCTCTGGTGTTGAAGGCCCCAGTCTGTGGTCCCTTGTGATGGAAGCCCAACAAGCCAGCACAGGGACAAACACCGACATACAAACAATATACGGGTGGAGGAATGGGAAGCAACGCAGGGGGAAGGCAAATATATGGGGTCCCTCAGGTCGTCCTGAGCAGACCTTGAAGTAATCATGGAGAAACTGTCTGTTTTTCATAATTTAAAAAAACCCTTTGAAATAATACCGAGTACTCTCCACGAGGGCCCTGGGTTTGCACAGGGTGGCACGGGCAGGCCTGTAGTCTCTGAATTTGGGGGGAAGATAAAGGCTCTCTCTCTGCTTATGAGCTTATGGATGTGGCTCCTAACAGAGGTCCGGGCACCCATCTTCGCCACTAAATCCCCACTCCTCGGTATCCAACCCTTCCTACTACCCACCTGTTTCCAACCCTTCCCAGTGCCCTTTCATAATGGCAAAACTAAATTCCTCCCCACAAGGTCCGGCCCTGCCTGCCCCCCTATCAGCATTGCTTCTGTTTCCCCCTCTCCTGCTGGCATTCAAGCTGCCCTGATCCTGCACAGCCTGGGACGCAGCAGGCTCCTTCCTGGCACAGGGCCTTTGCACAAACTGTTCCCTCGGTCAGGAATCCTCTTGGCCTAGTTAACTCCTATCACCCTTCACACCATCGCTTCCTCAGAGAGGCCTGGCCTGGCTACCCCTCCCCCCAGCCCAGGTCAAGCTCCCTGTCACCCTCATCTCCCTAAGGTAATCAGTAATTACTGTGCGCTTCCCCGCTGAGCTGGGAGCTCCTGGGGACAGGCACCACGGTGTGTGCTCAACCCAGGGCTGGGTGGGGTTGGCGGGAGGGTGAGCTGCTCACATGTTCCTCTCTAAAGAGGGCATACAGCCCCTGGGTTAGCACGGAGACCGTGAGCGACACAGCTAATCCCAGCTGGACATTTGCTCTTATCTTGGACATTTCCTGCAGCTACTAAGCTTACAGAGTCTGAATGACAGCCCAGAAAAGCTGTTGCTGCTGGTTCCAGAGAGGAAGGAAAGGGGAGAGAAGAAAAGGGAAGAATCAATGAACACTAAGCACCTACTATGTGTGTATGTGGACTGCTGGGTTACTATTTTCACATATGTTAATCCAACTAGTCTTTAGAGCCACCCTGAAAAGTGAGGTGAGAGTGTCCCCATTTTTATAGGTAAGAGAAGGCTCAGAGAGGTTAAGTCATTTGTATGAAGATGCAGAGCTGGTAAAGCCTAGCGTCGGCTTTGGAGCCCAGGTCTGCCTGAACCCAAGGCTCATGTTCTTTCTGTGACCCACACTCCCGGGAGACCATGTCAAAGGGCTAAAGCAGCAGTGGCTCCTGCCTGTGGGCCATGGACTGCAGTGCAGGGATCGAGTCCGGGGCCCATGAGCCCACTTGAGCGCCCAGCACTGCCGGCCTCAATAAACTGCACTTCTTCCATATCCAGACATACCTGTTTTAAAATCAACATAAATCCTGTCCTGATGAACACAGCACACAGTCCTCTGAATGGTTTACCAAATTCATGGCAGTCACGGGAGGGAAAGCAGGGACAGGCCCACGCGCTACAGGGTTCAGCATGTAACACACATTTTCTCACATGGTGATCTATTGCTGAAGGGGAGGACAGAGCACGGGTCTTTTGCCATTTATAAAAATTAAAAAAAAGAAAGGAAGAGTGAAGAATACCTGTACGTAGAAGCTGGGTTTTGCATAGACTTTCTGAGAGGGTGCAGGGGACACAGGAGTGGCCTCTTATCTCTGAAGAGAACTGGGGGGCTGTGGGCAAGAAACTGTAGGCAAGGGACTTTTCACTTTTTTACCTTTTTGTAAAATTTTAATGAATATAAAATGTTTAAAAGGCCCTAGCAAGAAGGTGCTGCTTAACCCTCGCACACAGGACTACATTTCAGGTAAGACGCTCCAGGGCACTGTTCGATTTCTGTACCCAAGGAGCCGGTGATGATAATCTCAGAGACCAGTAACTGAGCCGGGACTGAAAGGCCAGGTCAACAGAGGTGACCTAACAAACTTGGGCTTTTTTCATAAAACGCAATCATCCCTGCGTGCGGCCCTCGGGGCTTTCCCGAAGCCAGGGCCCTGGGAAGTAGACCTCATGCTTGTTCTGTCTGATCCACCGAGGTTCCTACCATATTTCCTTCTGCCCAAATCCCCACCTGCCCCCTGGCCCTGCCCCACTCCCATGCGCGCCATGCACCCACCACCCAGCCCAGCCCCACTCACATGGACAGCACCTTCACCTCCAAGATCTCGTTCCTCAGCTCCAGGCATCTCGTGGAGTTATATTCTAAAGGGCCCTCGTAAAATTCAAAGTACCTGGGAACCAACAGGGACAGAGGTTACTACGCAGAGAAGCCGGCCTGACTTTCAGGGACCCTTGTTGGGGGTCGGGGGGAGTCTGTCCTTGTCAAATAAGTAGAGCAAATCAGTCCCACCCAGCAGATGAGCTGGTGGATGGCTCCAGAACGGCTGGGCCCTCTGGCTTGATCACTGAGTATAAGCATTTATGGGAAGGAGGATGACCCCACATCAGCAAATGATGACATTCAGAAGCAAGTGATTCCAAGTTGGTGGCTGGAAAGGGAACTTGCTCTAGCTCTTCCTGTGATCAGTCACTAAAGAAGGCAGCACTGGGCTGGGCGGCAAGGTGGCTGCCTTCAGCCAGCCCTGCCCTTTCCTGCCCCCTCATCTTTCTCTTGGGAAAGTATTACACGGTGACAGTCACAAGCATAGCTGAAATCCACCGCTTTGCTTCTGCACAAGCATTTCCATCTCCATTAGCTCACTTAATTCTCATGCTCACGCAGTGACTAGGTGGGATTGACATTTCTTTCTCCCCATTTGGCAGCTGGGAAAACTGAGGCTAAACAGATGGAACTCCAAGTCCCACTGTCAATGTGGGGCACGGCCAAGCTTGGTCTTGACCACGCTGCAGAGGCACCCAAGCCCCTCCAACACCAGGTGGCTCCAGGCATGTCAGAGCTACCTCAGGGTCCCTTCAGCAGCTTCATGAAGAATCACAAATCCAATTTCAACCAATGCTTGCCGAGCCTTTACCACGGGCCCAGCACTTGACAAGGAGGCATCCACTTTGATCTTTATAACCAGCCTACAAGGAAAGTGATGCCATAAGTATCACACAGGTTCTAGGATTTAACTCACTTGCCCAGAGCTGCACCATGAGCCTCAAAGCTGCTCCTGTCCACTCACTTACAAGGACACCAGACACGGCGGAGGACCCCTTTACGGCCTCCCCTTCTCACACACTGGAAGGAAGCACATCACCTGACTGGGGTGGGGAGGGCTGAGTTGGGGTGGGGAGGTTCCCTTGAAGATAAAACATAGTGGTTCACTGCTGGGCTTGACCAAGGAGGCAGGGTGTGGCCGTCCCGGCAGAGGCCAGGTGACCCTCTCCTCGTGGCCTCCGTCTGGAGGTTGCTCAGAGGAGAGCGGGCATGTTAAGCTGACAGCCTCAGCTCCTCAGAAGAGAAGCCTGCAGTGTCAAGCAACTCTATATGTAGGGGCAGTGAGCTCGCAGTAGGGAGCCCTGGAGAATCAGAAGTGGGAGAGGTGCCGCAGGGCTGCTCCCAGGCCCTGCAATCCATGAGTAAGGATTTAAAATACAGGCATTCCTCAGGCATTTCCCAGAAACCGGTCAATAGTTTTTGCTTGTGTTCTCACGGGTCCAACTTACGTGTGCAAACTTTTGAAATACTATACATCGTTTTACCCAGTAAGTTGGTGTCTTTTAAAAATATTTGTATGCTAAACAGCTTTTAATTCCAGATTTAATACTTTAAAACATATTCTGTTTATAAATGTGTTATTTTTAATTTTAATAAAACTTAACAGTTAATTTTAAAGCATAACTATATATTTAAGTATTTTAAAATATTAGAACAAAATATTTTAAAAATAACTTTTAAATACAATTTCATAGTTAATTTAAAAATATATTCATAAGCCCTAGCTGGCTTGGCTCAGTGGAGAGAGCCTCAACCTGTGGACCCAAGGGTCCTAGGTTCAATTCTGGTCAAGGGCACATGCCTGGTTTGCATGCTCAGTCCAACGTGCAAAAGGCAGCCAATCAATGATTCCCTCTCATCATTGATGTTTCTATCTCTCTCTTCTTCTCTCTTCCTCTCTGAAGTAAATAAAAATATAAATATAAACATATTCATAAATATGTTCTTAATAACTTCAATATCACAATAGTTAATTTGACAGTACTATAATTATATATTTAAGTAATTTAAAATTATATTTCAAAATATGAAAATATTTCATACAACAAATTGGCTCCTATTTATAAAATAAGTTGTCTCCTTGTTCTTTTATCATAAAAGAATTAAAGTAGAGTTAATAAGAATTAGGCACTTGGGATTCCCAATATATCACACTCACTTTTTCTCTCTGTTTCCTTGTGTTTTTGAACTCCCTCCTCTGTTGTTCTCACCCAGAAAATTCATATTAATACTTCAGCACCCACTTTAAATGCATCCACTTCTGGGAAGGCTTCCTGACAATTACCTCCATAGTCCTCTATACACTCTTTTCATTAGAGCAAATAACATTGTATTGAAATAGTCTGTTTATATATCCATTTCCCTTCCAAACTGTAAGCATGGGGACTGCCTTTGTTATCTCTTTACCTCTGTACTACAGAGGCAGGAAAGCTAAGAACTATATTTCCCAGACTCCCTTGCAGCTAGGTTCTGGATGAAGTTGAAGTTCAACCATTCAGAAGCACTTGCTCAAGACTGTTATTGGAGAAGATGGACAAGGCTCAAAGCATCGTTTTGCTGGTGCAGAATGTGGCTGAGGTGGCATGGCTCTTGGAAACTGTAGTGGTGGCAGCACTTTCACGATTATATCAGAGGCAGCAGCTTTCACAGTGGCCTCATTTCACAGTGTAATTAGGAGGGGCATTTCTGGAAGCTCTGCCTGGTGTCTGTCTTCAGAACTAGTTGGACCCTTGATAAATCCTTTTCTGTTTGAATTGGTTAAAAAGGATTCTGTTATCTGTAACTAAGAACAAGGAAGAGGTTAGCCTGGGGCCACACAAAAGAAGTCCATGACCTTGGCTTTAATGCATGTCGTTTTCCAGTCACATAACACAAAGTGGGGTCTGGGATCTGATTACAAAGATCATCATTCGCAACCAGAGCCAGTGGCACCAAGCCCTTTGGAATCCACTGGGTCATCCAAAGCCATGATCTCAGGCTGCTACCAGAAAAGCTCCTGATTCAAATGATACAGGAGGTCCTTAGGAGAAGAGAGATGGGAAAGCTGTGGGCACATCTTGGATATGCCTCTAAACCAGCTGTGTGACTTTGGGTAAACCACTTCCCCGCTCTGGGCCTAGGCTCTCTCCTCCTTAAATAATTTGTTTGAACTAGGTGATATCTAAAGGCCCATCCAGCACTAAAATTAAATACCAAGCTTCCCCAGAATTTCCCACTCACTAACCAAGACAGATCGATACTATGAATTAACTAGAGGCCTAAGACACAAAATTCGTGCATGGGTAGGGAGGTCCCTAGGTCTGGCTAGCAATCAGGGCCAATCTGTGGGGCGACCAGCAGGGTGATTGGGGGAGGCACTGGTGGCACCCACCTTGGCCAGCCTAGCACCACCTGCTCACTGGCCCTGACCTTGCCACCGTCAGTTGCCTCCCTCTGTGGGGCAACTCCTTCTGCAGGCAATCAGAAGGCTCCCCACTGGCACCTGCCTTGGTTGGCCTGGGACCCACAGGCTGGGGACAGTTCCTGCATTGAGCGTCTGCCCCCTGGTGGTCAGTGAGCATCATAGCAACCAATCATCCCACGGGTCCTTCCGCTGTTCAGTTGATTTGCATAATAGGCTTTTATTATATAGGATGAGCCACACACAGGAGGAAGTTAAAACCAATCAGCCTCCACCCTTCGATCAGCTAGCCCATCCATTGCCTCCACGAGACCTTCCTTGCTTTACCTCCATCAGCCTCCATTTGGCTTCCTTTTCTTCTAAATCCCCAACATCACTCATAAGAAACTAGACAGTACAATGATTCCAAATGGTCAACCTATGAACCAGGAGATCATAGTTCAATTCCCAGTCAGGGCACGTGCCTCAGTTGCGGGCTTAGTCCCCAGTATGGGGTGTGCAGGAGGAAGCCGATCAATGATTCTCTCTCATCATTGATGCCTTTTTAAGTGTAGCACATACTAGAATGTAACAGGGTTTAGATAAGAAATCGATGATATTTCAGGGGAAATAGTAGCAAGTGCCAGGAACACAGGAAGTACCCAATAAATATTCAGCCCCTTTTCTTGCTATTAAAGGACAAGAACTGAGAGTGGATGCCCACAGACACTTGCTTACAGTCCCTCAGCTGGTTGATGGCAGAGCTGACTCAGAGATGAATAACTCAGGAAGTGTCTCCACTGTGTGCTGCTATTAGTAACTCTCTCTCCTGCCCCTGTGAATAAAGCCCACACTGAGTTCTGCGTGGACATGGGGATGTCCTTGATCACCCATCTCTGCCACAGATTCCAAGACGAACTGTTTCTGATGCTTTGACATCACGACATGCTGACTCTAAAGAGACTGCCCCTCCCAGGATTACCTAGAGGTTCCTCAAGATAATAAAGGACTGACTCAGGCTTCCCCTTAACCTGTGAACACACTTTTTACATGCACACCCACCAAAACTGAGTTTACACCCCACCCCACCAACTTCTCTCACACTTAGGGCTACTAGACCAGGTGCCTGAAGACACCCCGGGTAGTACCTAAGTCAAAATCAAAACTGCTCCAATACCGGGGTCTAAAGCCTCCAGTGTTCACATCTGGAAAATGGAACTAATAGTCCTTGCTTCCTTCTCCATCCTACCTGGGTTTTCCTTTGCGGGAGGGAGAGCTCTACTGCTCCATCAGACTCTAAGATGACTGACCTGAGGAAATAAAATTGCCAGAAGCATGGCCACACTAGTCACCTCTAGTCTGCTTCTGACAGATGCCCAAGGACTGCATTCTGGAGGGGGTTGTGGAAATCCCTGTTTGGTCTGGATATAGCCCATTAGGCAGACATCAAAAATGAGGCTTCCATTTTTTGGTGTAATGACATAGGAAGAGGCTCACATGATAACACTGAGTGGAAAATACAAGTTATAAAATTGTGGTTTTATAAAAAGAATTACGTGTGTGTGTGTGTGTGTTTGTGTGTGTGTGTGTGTTTGTGTGTGTGTGTGTGTGTGTGTGTGTGTGTGAGAGAGAGAGAGAGAGAGAGAGAGAGAGAGAGAGAGAGAGAATGAGAAAGCAGGGGGGCTGTAACA